ATATATATAAATCTCATAAAGATTTCTTAATTCTCCCACTCGATTTCTGTTCCTCCTCCATATTTTCCCCACTCAGTAAATGGCAGGTTATCTACACCATTTGTTCAATCCAAAAACTTAGGAGCCATCCTTAATACTTTATTCTTCCTCATACCCATTATTTAATCCATCTTCAAATTCTATTGAGTCACTTGCAAAAATATCTCGAATCTATTCACTTTTCTCTACTTCTGTCCCCACTGCTTTAGTCTAAGCCCCATCATCTCCCACATGCAATAGCTTCCTAGTTGGTCTCACTACTTGCATTATTGTCCTCCTGACCTTTTCTCCTCAGCACAATCAAAATGATCTGTTAAAAATATACATCAGATCTTATATCTCTCCTTTTGCATTAGCAAAAAATGCAAAATCATTAACCTAGCATCCCAGCTCTGCATGATCTAGCCCCTGCCTGCCTCTTAAATGTTGTCATCATTACTCTTCCCTTTGCTGACCACCCAATTCACATTGGCCTCCTTTTTATTTGTAAAATACATTACATTTCTTCCTGACTCAAGCTCATCACATATACTCACCTCTCTTTCTTTATGCTCTTCTTAAATTTTGCCTTGTTAAATTCTGGTCATCCCAGATCTGAGTTCAAATGACACTGCCTCAGAAAAGCCCCTGAAATAGAAAACTCAGGTCACCTCTTACATGCTCTTTTTTTCTTACATGCTCTTTCCATCTCACACTCTGCACTGTAAACTCAACGAGTGGCATCACGTCTATTTTGTGCACTGCTATATCCTTTACTCTTAGCACAGTGTGTGGCATAGCAGGAGCTCAGAATTATTGAATAAATAAATAAACACAGAAATAGGATCTGCAGACATCTAGACAGATAACCATTTCAGGAACAGGTCAAATTATGCTTTATCCAGTTTTTAGTAGATACATAAAACAACTCCATGAATGAATGAATCCATGCTTGGAAACAATTAACAATAGACTAGAGCTCACTTTCTGTATAGTACTGTTACCTTAAATTATCTTGATGGTCAATGTCCACATTGTAGATTTCATTAAGTAGCTGTCAGTTCTTCATGAAGACTAAGTAATTAATTTCAAAAATTAATTTCTTTCCAATGGAAAAAAATACCTCTCTGAGCAAATGTTTCCTGAAATGTAGATGATAATTCAGGGACACAGTTCAAGAAATCTAGGTTCCATTTATGACAACATCACTTGTTTTTTTCTACTGTGACCTTGAATAACTCATAGAATCTTGAAGGTAAAGAAAACCTTAGAGTCAGACAGATAAACCCTTCTAAAACTCCAGTTGGGATGTTTTAATGGGTCCATGTCTTAGTTCCACTCATGTAAAATAAAAATATTCTGCATCTTCTGTCCTGAAAAGGGGTATTATAGGAATATATCCACCAATTCATTCAACCAAATCTATCAACTACTAACAGAGTGCATGATACTGTATTAGGACAAATTTTTTTACAAAATAGAACCTGAAAAGGCTGGCCAAAAGTATTGAAGAAATGCCTGACTTTTAAGTTGTGGTATGTGGCGATGTATATTTTTCAGAGCATGAGAATTTCTATTCCATTTCAGAAACATGTGCATATTGATAAACCAGTAACTCCCTCAGATTAGGACATGAGCTAGCATGTGATACCACCTTACATATGTACCAGTTTATTCCTTAATCGACATTCGGAAGAATGGTAACAAGTCAATAAAAGCAGTGAGAGTCAGTAACCTGGATTTTAGCAGAAACACTCAAGTACTCAGATCTTTAAATTAATCCTATGGATCACAGTTGTATTTTTATATGCATGGAGTTGCCATGAGTTGGAATTGACTCACTGACAACTGGTTTGGGTGTTTTGTGGTTTTTGTTTTTTTGTTGTTTGGAGGGGATATCTTTGGTGAATAGGAGAAAAAAACTTTCTCTCTTTGTAAAATAATAGAAAATTTATCCAGGATTTAATATTAACAGTTAACTGTTTCAAAAATTGGTAAATCTAAAATCAAGTTATAATTTCCAGACATAATAATATAATCAAAGTACATGTAAAG